TAAGATAAGATAAGATAAGCCTTTATTGTCATCGTACAGAGCACAATGAAATTACAGTTCAGAACTACCATTCAGAAGAAGACAGAACGTAACAAACACAGGAGAACAGCTGCTCTGGGTCATGCAGCCATAGACCCCAGCCAAAGCAAGGATCACCTTCATGAAGACATCTTGAGGAAACACAACACTTAAAAAAAACTAAAAACTAAAAAACAAAAAAATGAGAAAAAAAGACTATTTGGCCCGTACAGATGTTTATTTTATTTTATTTTTTATCTGTGTTTGTATTGTGGTCTCGTCACTAGTGGGAACTTTTAGTGTAAAAACTCCACAAYGACGATTAAAACATGGAGTTAATTTTGGACACAATCGACCCGAGCATCTCAAATAAAAATAAGATGCTTCTTCTTGGAATTCCTGTGTATGGAGATYATGTGGATGCACAACATAGCTCATGTTACAGCAGGAAGTTTCCTCTGAAGCACAGATGCATCTTTTATTTAAAATATTTTCTGTATCTTATCCAACATAACTAAAAAATTTACTTTACTTTTTATACTGAAGTTACATGCTTTGATACACGGATAATACCACATCAATGCTTATTTAAAAGGTATATAATTTTCTACTACATTATCTGCTGCAAGTTGTACAAACTGTGCAACAAACATTTGTCCACTTACCGGCAGTCCTTGTGGGCCGATTGTCCCACGAGGCCCATTAGGACCAGTATGACCCTGAAATATAGGATTATCATATTTTGATTTGTAACATTTAATGTAACACATTTCATATTTGTCCCAGACTTCTGCTAAAAGTCACATTGCTGTAATATTAATTGCATCATATCCCTTTATAAAAAAAGGACCCAAATAAAACCTTTGTTTCTATTTGTTTCTCCAAAAAGAGGAAAATAATGAGTTTTATTAAACAAATTCTACAATCTTTACTCTCAAAATAACAAAAGCATCATGTGACGTTTATTAAATCTACATATGGAGACTGYAAACTTGTTCAAATTTATAATTATCAAATAAAAATCCAAATAAGTTTGCTTTTTCTACCTGGTATCCTTCGTCACCTGGCTCTCCACGATCTCCACGCTCTCCTAGAGAGCCCTGTGTAAACATGAAGACAAAATCATAAACAGGATTCTCCACCCTGATTAGAAAATAATTATATTTTGTAAGATAAAAGCAGACTGTTTTTGCAAAACATCAGAGTTTATTAGAATAAATCAGACATCAAATAACGACTTTGTATTGAAATAGTTAAAGGAGTGTTTAGAAAGCAGACTTTAAAGCAAGACCTACTGGTTCACCTAAGGGCCCTGGTGGTCCTGGAGTCTTATTGTCCTCGCCTGAATAACCCTGGAATGCACAAAACAATCCCACATAATCAAAAATGGCTGGATGTACAGTCTGCAAACAATTGCAACAAATATATTTGCAACAAGATCAACGAATGATAAATTATGTATTAATATTATTATATATTTTAGGGATCATTATTACCTTTTCACCTTTAGGGCCTGGTGGTCCGATGGGCCCAGGCTTACCAGGATGCCCCTCAAAAAAAAAAAAAAGAAAAGAAAGAAAGCTGATTATTGTACACAGCGAAAGCAGCTGTTTCACAGTGTGAAAGGTGGCAACAGGAAACAAAATGTCTAAAGAACTGAGTGTGYTTCGTCACTTATCAGGTGAATCAATAATTTTGTGATGACTTCCAAGTTTTTTCCCCAAAAAACATTGGATCTTTTTAGGAAAATTACAAGATATAACAGAAAACATTGGAATGGTTTCATGATTTAAGGTCTGTGTCTACAAATTTGTCAGTTAAAGTAGACATATCCTGCTTTCAAATCCATCCATTTCACATTTAAAATCATTCATTTTKTGTCTATATAAAGTGGAACTGCAATGCTTTGRTCTGAATTCCTCCTTATTCTAACTTTACCAGCTCCTCTTTCACCCCYTTTTCTGATGCGTGCCTCAAAGCCACTGGATTTGTTACTGTTTCTTTAAGACGCTTCAAGCTCCGCCCCCCTCCTGCTTCCAAAMCGGTCCACTCCAGTTTGWGAGAGGGGTTGGAGTTGCAGAAAAAAATGCRTTGCTCAAAATGGTATGTCAGAGTAAAACAGGAATCCACTGGATTTCTTCTCAAAACTTTATTCTTAATCTTCTGACTCCAATCAGGTTCACAGTACAGCACTCTGCAGGCCTTTGGCTGAAAACCCAAACAAAACAGAGCATCCCTGCTCTGAGCAGAGACTCAGAGTCTGACCCAGAACCAGAGGAGAATTGAGAGGAGATTGTAGTTGGTAAGTCCAGACCTTACTTGGCAGTTCCATSRCAGAAAAATTGACTACAGACTCATAAAACATCATAGAAAACAGAGAAAAGTGAACGAGCTGAAAWATATGAACCARAGATAYCTTTGCAGCACTAGGAGAKACTAAATTAAACTTTTCTGCCTCCTAGAGACTCCAAGTCCGCAACAAAATGTATTTAAAAGCCAACAAATGTGGATTTTGCAGGATATGTCCCCTTTAAAGTTGCAGCTTTTTATTAAAGGGATCCCTGATTAGTTGTAACATTATTTATTAGATAATCATATATTTTAACTGTAAAATAAAGACTGTAAAAATACTGTAGGCTGTTTAGTTTTTAATCATATTTAAACTAAAAATTTAAAAATATATTATATGGACAGGGCCATTTTATTTACACGCAAAGCATTCTGGGTAAATGA